CTAACACACTTAGCAAGAACACTTTAATTTGAATATAAATACTTACAGTGTTGATTAGACCAAAGATCTGGACAACTTTCTCAGCTGCAATTGCTACATTAGAGCCCATGTAATCATACTGAAAGACAAATTTTGTTTCTTAATCACTAGTCTAATTGAAAGACTATTATATTTAAAATGAATATGAAATATTAGATTTGTGCAGTTCTTAAATGAAAGGGCAAAAGTGATATTAATATTTAACAAGTGCTTACTAAATTATAGGCATATCCTAGAGAGAATTTATATATTAATCAGTAATATTACAATAATATAGTTGTGATTAGATTCCTTTTTACAGATGTAGAAATGAAGAATAAAGTAGCTAATGGTACAGAATTACAGAGATAGGAAAGATATATGAGGACTGAAAACTCATTTCTAACTAATTCTGATTCCAATTTAATCTATCATAGTATGCTGCCATATTTGTCAGCATCCCAAAGTAGCAACATGAATAAACAATGCACATTTGAAAAAGAGATATAAGCATCAAAATAGTGAACAATTTTATGAATATAGCTCCATGTAAGGGAAAATGTCATAATATTTTCTCTGAAATTCTAGCTGTGCGCTAAAACCAAACAAAGTGTCAGTTTGAGATAATCAGTAATCTGCAGCAAGTTGACGGAACATAAAAAGCACTATTTATTAGCGTGTCTTTCAGATATGTGTGGCCTTCGGGGCAACTTAAAGTCCAGATTGTCCTGAATAACTGAGATAGTGGTCATGTGTTGGGCTGTTAACTACAAGGTCAACATTTTGAAACCACCAGCAATTCTAGGGGAAACAGACAGGCTTTCTACTTGCAAAAATATTTACAGTCTCACACTTATAAGGTAATCAGTGTATTTTAATGGAGTTCATGACCAAAAGTGGGTAGGACTGGGGATGGGGAGATATGTTAATCTCTGAGAAGGGAATTTTACTTCTGCAGGTAGGTAAAACGAGGAAGGGCAGTCTGTCCTTATAGAAAATGCTTAACATTACTTACCTAGACTCCTAATGGGAGACTTACCTGATATGATGCTGTAAATCATGGTTTTTCCCTCCGCATTTTATTGGGAGCTCTTACAGATATTATAACAGTCTATAGTTCAATTAGATCAAGCATAATTGTACAATTGTTGCCACCATCATTTTCATAACATTTTCTTCCTTCTTGAACTCTTGATATAGCTTCCCTTTATCCGCTTTTTCCCCCACCCTATCCCCCACCCCCAGAAGCCCTTGTTTTATACACACACACACACATACAATTTTAATCTTTTAATTTAAAAAATATGTATCAAGGTGAAGCATAGCACTGGTGAACCATATGACTATCCTCTAGGTTTTTAAATATTTTCTCCCCATACTGTTATGGTCTTAGCTTTACCTAAATAATCTTGTTAGACCTGCATAGATTCATTTGTAAAATTAAGATTATTCAATGCATGAAATCCAAAATAGATAAGCCCTTCAAAATTAGCAATGGGAGTAATGATTCCCTGAGTGTACAGAAAGAGGGGGCAAGGGTGGGGGTGGGGATAATAGCA